AAATCCAGACCCTACGACAACCATTAAGTTAATACGGTTTGTTTTAGTCGTACCTTGATGCACTTGAGTGAAGTGTCAAACTGAAAAGGGAAAAAACTCAATAATAAAAACACTCAAATAAACGCTGCGGAGTAACTGTAACTTGTTAGTTTTTTTTTGTTGTTTTTTTTTGCTGCTTGCATTATTTACTTGTACATAGCACTACCATCTAGTTTGGATGGATCTTTGTGTAGTTAAGTATGTGTAACACATTCACTTGTTTCGGTAGTTATCTTGTGCTTGACATATAATAAAGAAAACGTAAATAAAGCCTACTTATTTCCATCTTGGTACCCAAATTACAAAGAATATTACATCCATTTCACAAGTTTTGCCATCGCTGATTCTAGCGGGATTGCAAACTTACTTTATATTTCACCCATAATAAAACCAATATATTTTCCTGTTCGCGCCCAAAACACAGGAGGTAGATGCAATAGAGTGCTGCTGTTTCAGTGACCTTGGTATGTAAGGGATGGTGTGGTGAGAACTTTAGGTGAGTAAGGTAGCTATGCGTTCTCAGTGACGTTCTACATACTTGAACCTGGATTCGAACTCGAGACTCTAGCAGTCTAGAGCTTTACCTCTAGGCCACGCCGTCCACTGGGTATAAGCAAAACTACAATCTTACAAAAACTACAATCCTATATAATGCAATATTATATATATATATATATATATATATATATATATATATATATATATATATATATATATATATATATATATATATATATATATATATATTTATATATATATATATATATATATATATATATATATATATTTATATATATATATATATATATATATATATATATATATTTATATATATATATGTGTGTGTGTGTGTGTGTGTATAAGGGCGCAAATAGGGCAGGGGTCTCTTCGGCTCTGCATCCTTTCTTACTTTACACAGCTTGCCGTGTGTGATGTTAACACATTTTAAGACGCGGACCCGCGCGAATATTCTATACAAATTTTAGATGGAGAGTCTTGGCTGCTGAAATATTTGACGTTTGTCAGGTACGTGTTTGTCTTCAGCTAACAACCACCGAAGTATTGGCCATTGATAGTAAACCTACATCTTCGTTTGCTGAAGAAAGGACTTGGGAGACTCGGACAAAATGTATATAGAACTTAAGTTATAGGATATATATATATATATATATATATATATATATATATATATATATATATATATATATATACATATATATATATATATATATATACATACATATATATATACATACATATATATATACATACACATATATATATATATATATATATATATATATATATATATATATATATATATATATATATATATATATATATATATATATATATATATATATATATATATATATATATATATATATATATATATATATATATATATATATATATATATATATATATATATATATATCTGTAAACCGTATTACAATATATCATACATACGTGATCTAACTGAAGACACTCTCCTTGATACAAACTTTTGTGTTCGATATAACACGATGTGTGTAAATATTTATAATAAATCATCACTATCCCCTTTCCTTTTTATTCAAAATCAATATACTAATCTAAATCAATGTGTTTGATTTGCACAAAAGACAAGAAAATGTTTTTTTAATAGTAAATGGTCTTTTTTTATATTACATTTGCTGTTATACCTAAATTAGTCGAAGAAAGGTTCTATTTTTTTTTCAATTAATATAATACATTTTAATAAAACATCTTTATTGTCGTTAGCTGAAGCAGAAATAAAAATCAGAAACACTAAATAAACAACATATTAGCTTGCAATGTTGGAACATGCACTGATGCACATATATCTGATACGAGAACTGTTAAATTTTGTTTGATAGCTGCTCTTATAAGGACAATTTGTTTGTGTACTTGGAATAATTCTAAGTGTGCTCCTCTGTTTTCTTATCTAACTGGGCCAAGTTCACACACGCACACACACACACACGCATACACACACACACGCACACATTCACACACAAGTAAACACACAATCGTGATGAGAGGCTACTTTTAAAAAAAATTCCCCCCATTAGACCTGTGCGTGTTAAAAGAACTACATCTGACAAAAACATTGTTCTGTTGTGGTGGATGGTTTCTGTGATTTACGGACTTAACCACTGATGTATTAATTGTGATGTGTATTAATGAAAAAAAAAGCGACTTGATGTACCACGATAGGAACCATTTGTTTAACAAGCTTGTCCAACTTCATTAGTTATTTGTAGTGTTTTACTTTTAGTATATAGGACAAGGGATATTCTGATTACCTAATCAATATCTCTGTTTTCTACACCCGCGATAATTGATTACATACCAGGTAACACAATGTAAGTTCTTCTGAAATACTATGTATTAGCAAAATAAAAATTACATGTTTTACCATACACATGCATTAAATTATAATTCGAAATCTTATTTTGAAACAAAAAAAAATGTCAAAATACGTAATTGAATGACACGTAATATAACACACAAATATATATTTTTTTAATATTGGGTAAATAGATTTGATCCCAAATGAGATAATTATGAAATTATCTTTAATCAGACACATGGAACTATACTGAAAAAAAAAAGATTAGAGATACACATAGTTGTGATTCTGCAAATATTGAATAACAATAATGCAGGTCTATGCAATGGGCCAATTTTAAAAACATTTTGAATACATACTTACAAGAATGTAGTCCCGACTACAGTTAACAATATTATATCTTTCTCCAAGTTTATAAATAAATTGTTTTGAATTATATATAACATTCCATATAAAACTAACACGCCTAATGTTTGCTTAGGTACAAATTATTATAACAAGAATTACACCACTAAAAGGCCTTAACTCATATAGGCTACAGTTTTAGTATTATAGTCGTTATTTCTTATGCTAAAATTTTACAACTTTCTAATAGAATATTTTTCTATCGAATTTTTAATGTATACGTTACGGTTGTCTGAGTTTAAAATTCACTACATGATTATAAACTGGAGGGGGAGGGGCGGGGTGTGGGGTAGGTTGATAAAAAATGTAGTGCTTCTTACGAAAGAACTAAGTACCGTCTCCTGCTCTTGAATATTTTATTATTGTTAGGTATATCTGTATCATACTGAGTCCTCTGCTCTAAAATGTAAACAAACGCAGTTAATGATTTACCGACGGGAACTCCCCTTGTTGTCATTGTAACCGTGATTAATTAGTCGGGCGGGTTATAAACATGTAGCTATTTCAATGCGAGCTTGTTTCATTCAAGTCAAGCACACATACACATACAAGATCTGCTAATATACACTATTGCAGTATATCTTACACACAGAGGCGTAGCGACTCATCCTGGCGCCACCCAATTTATTATTATATAGTTGTACATGATATTAAAAAAAGCCCCCCCCCCCACACACTATTTGGAATTGAAGAAGGTCGCCTTTTAATAGTCACTGTACCATAGACGTTTTTATTATTTCACACAAATAATGTAGAAAACAGTTTAATCAGTCCGGAAAGAAAATAAGTAGTCAGTTTTTATAAACTTTAGTTGTGTATAATCTGGTAATTCAGCTCAAATTGTGCTTTAATTTTAGTTTCTACACCATTTCGCTCCCCCCATAGGGTTGTTGGAGCCCCCACACATAGATATATACATACATACATATATATATATATATATATATATATATATATATATATATATATATATATATATATATATATACACACAATGAAAATGTTTATATCTATCACTAGATTATGTATTTGCAATAGTTTCGCATTACACATCCTTATGTTATTCAACGGTAACACATATCATGTCGCCGTGATGTATCAAATATCAGGTAATAGGCCCAGTCTATCGTCAGACACAACACACATCTGTCAACATAACTAACAACGTTACGAATCTTGATCCTCCCTCTAGAGGGGAGAGAGAGATAGAAGAGAGAGAGAGAAAGAGAGCGAGAGAGAGAGAGAGAGAGAGAGAGAGAGAGAGAGATAGAGAGAACGAGTATACCTGTTGAGAATACCTTTTGTAGGTCATAAAAAGCAAACATTCCAGTTCAAGAAGTGGACCAAAGTAGAGTGTGACAATGTCCCCACATGTTTGTGTATATCTAGGTTTAAATACTAGAGTATGCTTCAATAGTTATAGTTTGTTATTATAAGATGAACTACATTGATTATTCATTTCTACCCACATGTAAGTTTATTTACATATATATATATATATATATATATATATATATATATATATATATATATATATATATATAGGCCTATATATATATATATATATATATATATATATATATATATATATATATATATATATATAGGCCTATATATATATATATATATATATATATATATATATATATATATATATATATATATATATATATAATGCGTTAAAATTTACACGAAGACTAGTTTAATCATCGGTTAGGTTCTACAGTTTTCTTTCCTTTTCACTGTGCTTCTGTTCAAAAGATGTTTAAAATAATGATTTAATTAATTTAACAGGCATTAAAAACGTGTACTTTTGTTGTGTCACAATCGATAGAAATATTACATTTTCAAACATGGAATACACTAGATAAAATGTTGGTGCATTGGGTAGAAATGTAATTGAAATATTTTTTAATACAGAGACATGAATCTTGATAATTTTTTTTTATAAAAACGTGTTATAGTTAGACTATGCTTTGGTGCTTGCTATCTTTTAGCCAGTGCACGATTCTACTCAACTAAATAAAAGAAAAGTGGACAAATTTCTCACCACACATATCTGAACATACGCCTGGCATATAGACTAACACGAGGCCTACATAGCAAGCCCCACGGGCCGACCCGTATGAAACGGAATTTCTACCTTTCTCTAAATAAATACGCGACGTGCTGAAGAAAACCATTCGTGCCTAGCCGTAGACGCTAACGACACACAGACGAAATAAAATTGCCAACCATACACGTAGGTGTAGTGGTAACACTTGAGATCGTCAGAGGAATTTCCCGATTATCTTTCCTTGCTATGTATTCAGATTTTTGAATGGTGAACGAAATCTTAATATAAATAACCACTGACAGAGCACAGGCTTACAGTGAATATAAAGTTGTTAAAGCGTGTCTTTGTAATATAAGTTCCTGCATATTTTAGTGATGTAACTAGGATTTTTTTAAAGGATATCTCTTTAGTGTAGTAAAATGAGGTGAAGGATGGGCAAAAAATTCTAGAGAGACGTAGATTTCTATTTCCTATGTGATCAGTTCATAAACTCGTTCTGTGGATACTAGAAGGTAAGGGTTTCAGTGTTTAAAGTAATTTATTTTAGTCGTAAATGTGACAATTTTATCTGGCAAGTCAGGAGACCTCAATGTAAAACAATGAGGTGATTTCTATACACGATCTTTTATTGTTAAGTTTAAACAATAGTTTATTGTTGTGTGACCTAATCGTTAGCTATTGGTTTCAATCAGGCGGCTTAGTGTTTCAACACACAACCAATTGTATTATAATGAAATTTTAACAATTTAAAGGGAAGTTAAAATGTTACCGATCCTGGTGGTGGTGTTGGTGGTTGTGGGGGAGGTGTGCGTGTGTGGGGGGGGGGGGGGGATAGAAGGGGTTAACGTGGGTGTTGGTGTTACATTGTGAAGTTAACGTTTAGTGTGCGGATATAATGTTATTGTGTTGTTTTTATGAAACAGGTTTATACTTTAGGCTATTTCTTGATAAAAGTGATATGTTCTAGAGTCAGGTAGGTACGTTTTTTTTGTGTATGTTTGGCAGTCGTGTTTATTGCATGGATTTATATCATGTAGTCTGTCAGGAACATTGTCAGTCTGTCATGTAGTCTGTCAGGTAGTCTGTCTGGTAGTCAGTCAGGTAGTCTGTCATGTAGTCTGTCTGGTAGTCAATCAGTCTGTCAGGTAGTCTGTCGGGTAGTCTGTCAGGTAGTCTGTCAGGTACACCTGTCAGGTAGTCTGTCAGGTAGTCTGTCAGGTAGTCTGTCAGATAGTCTGTAAGGTAGTCTGTAAGGTAGTCTGTAAGGTAGTCTGCCAGATAGTCTGTAACGTAGTCTGTAAGGTAGTCTGTCAGATAGTCTTTTTATGTAGTCTGTCTGGTAGTCTGTTATGTAGTCTGTTAATTAGTCTATCATGTAGCCTGTCAGGTACAGTCTGGTACACTGTCATGTATTATTGGCAGTACGTAATTGCGTAGAATAAACTGACTACAGACTAATTTCGGCAAGCTAATAGAACTAATATCTGGTAAAAATTCATTCAATTTACCCAACAGTTAACTGAAATTCATTACTAAATTTGCAATATATCGGATTACCCACATTAAATGATAAGTTGTGATAATCCTAAACCTAATATAATCCTACCTACCATTAGAGCTGACCCAGCCTGATAAAAACAATGCTAATTTTTAATCATCCTGTTTTAATTAATTTCGACACCAAAATATCACAGCCACCATTGTAAAATCATTGTTCATTAAAGTCTAAATATGGCCACACATTACTGTGATTCCCTGAAGCGAATCAGGATATGAAAGACGTTTTACCATAACAGATACAGATTTCTTTTATTTAAAATACACGTCCATGTTACTTCATGTTTTTCTGTTATTTGAAGCGAATCGTGCTACTTTATTTACAAATACCGGTTATAATTATGACCCGGATTCGTTATATATTCAAACACAGCAACACTGAACTATTTAGTTGACACATTTCAAAGGTATTGTGTTTCGTGTAGTTTATGGTTTAATGACACAGAGGAGTGCAGTATATTATAAAGGTAAAGGGTGAATGGATATGTGTGTTCAACTTCCTTATTCGTGTGTTGGGGTTTAATGAATGAATAGAAAACATAAAAATAACTAGAATGGATTGTAACACATATGTGAAGTTAAAGTGAATGTGTAGCGTAGTTTACTTTAAATATTTTGAACTTTCAGGTAAGTGTATATTTAACTCAACTATTATTTATTATTGCTTCGTGTTAATGTGACTTGGTTGACTTAGCCCTCTTTACTCCTTCTGTAACATAGGGTCACTTTGTCCGGTATCCGACTGTGAATTTTGCTGTGTCCCATGATATCGATGCGGTCTTTAGTTCTTTAAGAATAACACCAATGTTTTAATATGGTGTGCCTTTTTTAAAACAATAAAAATTCCTTATCAAACCCGACGGTATATGGGGTAAAGTAGAGTTTACCTGTTTCAGTGACCACACCATTTAAAGGCATAATATGCCCACTTATCTTTATTTTTCCTTAACGTGTAAGGTACTTATCAGAGCTGAGTGGACTCAGGGTCGTTCTACCCACTTGAACCCGAATTTTAACTCGAGACGTTTGGGAAAGCAGTCCAGCTCTCTACTGTTAGGCCACGCCGTTACAATTTTGTTAAAATAGTAAAAAAAAATAACGATAAATTTTAACAAAGTGCTCTCATTTTATATTAATTGTTTATTTTGATAGATTTCGATGATCATAATGCTAGAGTAACTGTATGGCATCAAACAATCCAAATTTAGGATTGATTGTCATTGCTTTAAAACGTGTTAACAATTCACATAAAAACATATATTTATGTACGCATAGCTGAAGATTTGCTTTAACATTACTATGGGAGGGGGTGGTGGGTAAAGAAGAGGGTTAAAATAAGGAAAATTCTAGTTGTACCACGATACAAATCATATGTTTGCCCGAGTAACTCCGTATCTTATGTATAAAGATACATATGTGTATGTAAATCGGATTATTTCAGTTAGCCCTGTAGAGTGATTACCGCAGAAAACCTCGAATTTATTCTCCTTTTCATTTTGTGCCTAATGCATTTTTCTAATTCAAACTAAACAGTCTTACCCACATACATTGACTAATGTGTCTTTCAAATATATCACATTATTAAAATACAAACAAGGATATTGCCAGCTGGTTAAAAATATGTGTGTAGATTTTAAAGAATGGCTTGTGTTGTGCAACTTGTTACAAGGAAGGAATACCCTATATGGATTTGTTACACATTCACCTTATATCTTGTGACAAAACACTACATATTAAAGTTATATCCTAACTTGATTTTACTTGTTCTTGTCACTAAGAGAAGCCGGACAAACTCATTTGATTAAATAGTTACCGTATAAAACTTCTAGTACATTACCTTACTCAATTTTTTTCCCACATGTTGAGTCTCCAATGTAGATTGAGTATTATATTCAATTTTGTTTATTTTGTTATTTTTTTTTCTCAGTACAAATTAGCAGCCATAAATTGACACATCGTGGGAGTAATATTATATACAAATTTATAAAATCATAATTTTATTTACTTCCATTTATTTTAGATATAAACATGCTGAGGTAAAAAAAAAGTGAAAGATCTTCCATAGAAAAACCAAGAGAAGATGGAGCTCACTGTGCTGATTGTGTGTTGTGTTCTGGCAACAGTGTCTAGCATAACGGCATCTACAGTAACTGTATCCTATGCAACGTCAACGATGAGTTCGACGTCGTCAACAATGCTGCAAAGTAATGTTACTTCCAGCGAGAATACCACACAGACGACCAACACGACCTCGGTGAATATGACATCGCCAGCAAACACCAGCGAGGCGACAAACACAACCACACAGCCGTCAAGCAGTCAAAGCTCAACAGCCACCACGTTAAACACAACACAAACCTCCAGCACGATTTCAACAACTTCTGAATACTCTGCTCAAGGATCATCCTCATTAGTGACCACCACACCAAGTCCAACAACAACACTAACTCAGACGTCAGCTATACCATCAATTACATCCTCACCAGCCCCTGAATCAACCTCAATCTCATCACCAGCCCCAACAGCAACTTCAACACCAGTTACAACCTTAGCACCAACTACATCATCGACAGCAACAACAACAGTCCAAACATCCATTCCGACAAACATTCTAATCCCCACAACCCTTCCAACAACCACCACAACAACCTCGCAGCCGACAACAACTGCATCAGTTATGAGTAATATATTGTCGATGAACGTCACAGCAGCAGCTTCTCATTATGCTTATTTTGAATGCAATTCTACCCTGCTTAATTCGTAAGTTAAATATTGTATTAATGTTGTATTGTGTTTTCTAATGGTGTAAACATATACTACTTTAGTGACGAAAACTAAATTAATCTAAATTAAATAGGTTGGCTGCTTCTCTTTACATACGTGTATTTTAAAAAATAACATTGCTTTTTAATTTTGCTGTGATTATTTTTTAGAAATGCCCGATCATGCAAGTGTGTTATATTAATGTTAGTAGACGGAAATAGAATGTGACAATGGTAACAGAAACCATATCAGAACTAAACATAAATGCATAATTAAATAATTTGTTGGCATGCACTAGTATTAGAAATACTCTATTTGATGTGTATTTAATGTGTATAATTGTTTTGGGGAAGCTGTGTTTATAGAAAAGTATAAATAATAATACAACTCTTTTTTTTAATTAACACTCTAGATAACTGTGTAAGAAAACTAATAAAAATTCTCAATTATCGTAAGGATTACAATTCACAACACTGTCAAGAGTTTAGAGAATAAAATTATTTTTCTTAAACTGTTTACATAATTAAAATCAACGTAACATATTGAGAAACAGAGGTGGTATATATAAACTTGACAGCATAAACCTATTATTATTATATTGATAATTACAATTAATAGATTATACAAATTACATTTTACTGCCTTTTGATTAAAATGTAAAGTAGTATCTCATGCTTGATATAAAATACGAGCCGACCCGCTGCGTATCATACGCCGCTATTTAGTTGGGTTTTTTTTTACTTTCAGTAATTTATAATTTGTGAATTCGACAGTACCAATACTGTCACTGAAAATATTTGCTTAAAAACACTAAACCCCCCTTCCCCCCCCCCCCCCAAGTGAAAGCAGCCTCCTCTTAGTTACCTCCTCTAAGTTTAAAATCGTTTCAAACTAAATTATCTGCCCCTAATAGCCGTCACCAAACCCGTCTCTATGATTGTAAAATGTAAACAGCGTGAACAACAGCTCACCAGACCATGTGAGGGGGTGGGGGTAGTAGCGATAGAGAGGAAGAGAGGGGACTGTAAGGAGGCGCTTGCAGCTTGTTTTCTAACGGCTCCCAGAAGACAATTATATACATATGAGCCGACCCGCGGCGTATCATACGCCGCTATTTAGTTGTTTTATTTTCTACTTTTCAGTCATTCATAATTTGTGAATTCGACAGTACCAATGCTGTCACTGAAAATATTTGCTTTAAAACACTACCCCCCCCCTTTCCCCTAACCCCGACCCTACACCCCCTTCCCCCCCCCCCCCCCCCCCCGTGAAAGCAGCCTCCTCTTAGTTACCTCCTGTAAGTTTAAAATCGTTTCAAACTAAATTATCTGCCCCTAATAGCCGTCACTAAACACGGCTCTACGATTTGTAAACATTTAGAGTGAACAACAGCTCACCAGACCATGTGGGGGTGGGGTGGGGGTGGTAGTGATAGTGATAGAGAGAAAGAGACGGGACTGCAAGGAGGCGCTTGCAGCTTGTTTTCTAACGTCTCCCAGAAGAGAATTATATATATAGATAGATAGATATCTGCTTCAATTTATTAACAACGTTAAGTTACTTAACTAGCAATATTAAAAAATATTTATTTTAAGAGAAAAGCAACCTAATTATCACATGTAAGCTTAAATATAAATTCACTAATTGTCTTTTTTTTAAAACATTTTATATATACATTTAAAAAAATATTCGTTATCCTTTTTTCTTTTGCAGGTTTTTCGCCTGCCTTTGTGGCACATCCTATCAGTGCAGAATTCCCCTGACTTTCCGTCAAGGATCTAATTACCTTTATGACCCAGGCGAAGTTGAACAAAGCGGCCAAACCTCCTCTAATGAAATTTTTATTTGTAGAATTGACGACCTAAATTCTTTACAGCGTACATATTTGAACTGCAGTCGTGGGCAGACTTCTTGTGGTAACTGCGGACATTTTAATTTCACATCCAGCCAGTGCAGTGGTCGATCAACACAAGTCAAATGGAGTGTTATACAGTCAGTGAAACTAGGGTATTATTCAAACATTGTTAATATCGTCTGCGACTCTTCCAATGTGCAGTGCGCCCAGGCAACACCACCGCCTGCCAATTCTGGCACCACTACCACCAGCACCGTTAAATCAGACGCCTTAATCCAGTCAGGTGAAACCGGAAATACCGGTCTAATTTTAGGTCTGGTCTTCGGCTTCCTTGTCTTAGCTGTCGTCGTTGCCATGGCGATATTTTGGTGGAAACAGCGCAACGACAAAATGAGAGGATCCACAGTTTTTGACGACGACTCCACCCCAGCACAATTCACTAACGGCTCCACCAATGATTACGTCACTTCCTCTACATCCTCCGCAAAAGCCAACAACGCCAGGCCTTATGTTAACATCGGGGTTAAAGATGGCCGAAACGGTTCGGGAATTTCCGGTGAGTACAACGCAGGGTACCAGGAGGTCGAGTTGTTAGCCCATCCGGGGACGGGCAACGGGAAAGCCCCACCCCACCCACAAGACCCGGGGTTGAAAACAAAACCAGATCTAAACTTTAACCAAACGGACGAACCCGACGGAGAAGACGACAGCGATTCCTCCTGGTCAGACGAATCCGAACAAGAAGACGATACGGAACCGAACAACGAATACAGCAGGCTAGGAAACATCGCCGCCAGACAAAATCTTAACGACTACGGTGCAGCCAACTCTCCCTCCTCCAACTACAATCTAACAGCCACACCCACTTCCGGTCAACAATCTCGCGACTTGCCACACCCACCCCCTCAGGTGATAGAGCTCTCTACCCCCGGGGTTAAACTAAAAAACGACTACGACTACCCTACCGTGTCGTACCCTCGTGAATCTAAGATCTACAACGAGGTGGACGACGAAGAAGAAGGATCCGCACAGCGAAATAGCGAGGTCTATACTACGATCAACGAGACACAACTCCCAGAGCCGCAGTCTAGGGGCAGCAACTACAACCCTTACTTCGAGCTGGATATAGACTCCATGTGTGGTTCCAAGAGCGGCACTTAGATTGTCTAACTTTGTTGACTATACTGTAGATAACAATGACATTTAAAATCTATATTTTAAAGAGCGACACATAGGTTATATACATTTATGTGACGATATATTAGATAACATTGAAATGTTCAAAGAGTGGTGATTTGGTTATCTAACCTTATGTGACGAGGGTCTAGAGAGCAAGGAATTGTTAACTTTGTGCATAATTCAAAAAGTGACCCTTAGCTTATCTACCCTTGTGTGACGTTCCAATATGTAACAACGAATATTTTCAATATTTTGCAAAGGTTGTTAATAATCGTGTATGTACTGATTAGTATTTTATTGTTTATTAATGGAAAGGTTCAAAAAGACAAAGTTATACAATCCATGTAGAATATATGACGCAAAGAACGATAGTTATATTATCTTTTGATAACAAATACCAGTTTAATTGCTTGTATATTCCGGGTTCAAATCCTGGCGAAGACCCCATATCCAGGAATTTCTAATGAGTACATAACCCACGGTAGGAAAGTAAAGACGGCTGATTACATTATACCTTAATATATCGAGTTCATGGAAACAGGTAAATCTACTTCACTTGCTGCACGGACCAGATAGGTTCGAAACGGTAGCTGCAGGAAATATTGACAGGGATCAAAAGCTGTTTGAGATATATATTTAATTACAGTATTTTACATTAAATAAAGTTTTTTAAAATTGTTTAATATATCAGAAAAATCAACTGAATATATTGTGATTATCAAAAATCAGGGAATACTCTTCAAACTTTGTTTGATTGTCAATTGTCAGTTTCGAATTCTCTATATTAAAATAAATGTATATAATATAATATATAATTGTACACATCTGTATAAACAGTGATACATATTATTTTATTTGCGAATGAGTATGAGTGTTTAAAGCTTTTATTAAACAGTGTCTTAACTTATATCAAGCATAACTGCATTAATTTTAATACGCTATGTTTTACTATGTCATTATTGAAGTGTCATCATTTTTTCATTGTGGGCCAATACACAAGGGGCCGTCGCAGAAAGCTCCCTATACTTGTGTCAGTCACCGGGAATTCTCCCGGCAGTCCCCCATGACAGTCCTGCCTCTGCCAGCTGCTTCCACGCTGTGCCCCCCCCCCCCCCCCCCCCCCCCCCACGTCTCACGTCTGGTTATTTGAGTGTAATTTGAGAAATATATTTATCTTTACTAACGACATACAGAGAATGTTATTTTTTTTAAGAAAAAAAAATATTGTGAAGTAATTTACTTTACATACATTTATATCTATAAATATTCTAGAGATGTAATACTAAATTGCTGTAATGTGCTATATTGCAATAAAATAAATATTTATACACATTTTTAATTATTCATTTATGTAAGTGAATTGTTATCATAATATGTTGATCTATTATTTTGCTTTAACTTTAGTAAGAAAGTAAAGTTCCCTTTCAAACCTGACGGTCTACGGGGCAAGTGAAGTAGAGTTCGCTTGTTTCTGTGTCGTCGGCACATGAAGACAATATTGTGGTCAACACTATGCCCGACCGCCTATATTTACCGTAACATGATTTACTTTAGTTTTAACTGATGCATATGGGCAAGGCATATCAACTTAAAATTTATCTAAAGAATTGTATATGAAAGGTAAAATCCAACTAGTAAAATGTTACAGAGAAGTTTAAATTAGTGCAAATGTTCACGGTATATACATCTAAACTTTATCAAGAGAACTTTTTCAAGAGAGTTAAACTCAAACTAGTAAAATGTTAATCGAATTAAATTTGTACCTTAAAAATTGTACTGGAATGCTATTTAAACAGTGCACCGTGAAATTCTACAGTAAAGTTAAACTGAACACAGTGATTGGTTACGGATAAGTAAAATAATCACCCCGTGAGCAGTTATAACCACTTTTCAAGTGAGTATTTACGAGGAATATGTTTAATAATATTCTTTAAAAATATAGTAAACAGTGTAAAAAACTATAGATGTCATGCGACACAAATAATAACTGAAACAGGTATTTCTCAAGTTCATTCTATGAGTCACAGTTTGACATTGTGAAAATAAAATTGTGTTGACAAGATGACAACACCTGCCTTAGGCCTCGCTATTTTGAAGATTTCACAACACCATGTGTTTCTAAACACACCAACAGGAAGGGCTCTAGCTGAGGAATTCCGTAAACATGATTCTACTACAACCAAGAGCAAGTCTGTGATGTGTGGGTTGGATTTATTCTAAGAGAAACATTCCATTAACTCGTTTGTTTTCAATCGTCATTTGAGTGTTTGTTCAATCGGTTCTTGTGCAGTGTACCGTTACAATGTTGATAATGTGTTGTTTGTGAATATACATCAATTAAACATTAAGAAAATACTGATAGCTGTAACTGTCGATTTAAGTAAGTTATTATATATTTTCAATTGTATTTTGTTTGCCATGTATTTGGTTCTTTTTAGAAAAGTCTATTTACTTAACTAGGCCTATATGGAACATTATCGTCACAACTTACACTTTATCAGCAATAATCTTTAAGATACTAATATTCACTTATTATTTAATTAACGTAAACAGTAATTATAACCGCAAGTAATAAAACTAAAGTATAATTAGTTGTGACGATAATGGGCAATAACACATTTTTTTCTTACGGTTTCAATGATTGCGCTAATTAATGCTATCTCTATCAGTAATTTTCTTTAAGATACTAATATTCACTTATTATTTAATTAACGTAAACAGTAATTATAACCGTATGTAATTAAACTAGGGATAGCATTATATAACGCAATCATTTGAAACCGTAAGAAAAAATTGTTATTGCACAAGAGTTGAAAAGACAATAGGCCTACATTGTTTTATGATATACATTTTTGCTTGATAGACATCTCCAAGAATGATTTTCAATGTCTAAAACACGAGTTCATGGTTCCACCACTTTTATGTGGTCAACCGCATCGTCAGTGATGAGCACTGCCACGAGAACTTCCTCTTCCTCCAGTACCTACACGACCACTAGTACATCAACCACAACCTCTTTGATGTCGACCACACAAACAACAAGTACCACATCCAGCACCACTCTACTTTCCCCATCAAGCACGGGGACGACACCCATGTCCACGACACCCGCATCATCGACATATGCTGCAAGTACAAACATCGTGGATGTTTATATCTATTCACTAACTACCGGTATCGTTGTTTTATTTGTAACTATCGTAATCATAATAACTTTTTGTATCAAAAGACGAAAAAAATCTCGTTCGCATTCTCCAAGTACGGAAGACCCGACAAACGTTTCTACCAATTCAAACCAAGACACTAACGTTCAAACCACAATTGTTGTGCCAACTTATGAAGACAACACCTATATCAATAACGTCCAAACCACCATAGTGGTACCAACTTCTGAAGACAACACCTACATAAACAACGTCCAAACCACCATTGTGGTGCCGAGTTCTGACGAAAACACCTACATCAACGTCAGAACGCGAGCGCCTCTAGACGCTCACCACTACATAGAAATCATGCCCGAGCCTAACAGAGAACAGGAGACCACCCAGAGCAGATTTGACAACTACAGGTACCAGAACGTTGGTCAGATGATTGACAGTGTCTACAGTAATGCCATAGTTTCTGGGACCAGGTCGGCAGTCAGGGCTGAGAAGTTGTCAGGATCGATGGTGTCCTATGTCAACATTGAATCTATCAAACACAATAAGTGATACGCAGTCTGGTATTGTAGTTTACTGTGAGAAAAATAAATCTATTACATGAAATAAAAAAAAAAGCTCATTTTTATAATCATCTTCTGCACAATAACTCTTTTGCAATGTGAATATAAACTCTATCATTAAACGGAAACAAACAGGAAATATTTAAGACATGTACCGATTATATTTTTTACCGAGTTCAATATGTTAAACTAGTTTCACCTAAATTGATGTGTTATTATAAATGTTTACAAAGCTGGAAAATGCCATTTTATTTGATATAGTTCTTTGCTTTTGTTATTTCAAGCTATAAATATAACACTTATATATATATATATATATATATATATATATATATATATATATATATATATATATATATATATATATATATATATCATATGTATTGTGTTTACGATGTCGCTTTCGTTAAGCGAGATTACAGCACATCCTGTAATTACTAAATAAAATAAACTTTTTAACAAGTACAAAAACTTTTTTCAGTATATCGTTATTTTGTCAATTGCTGTAAAACAACCTGACTCACTTATAAAGTGGCTGGTCACACAGGCGTAGCGACCCTTCCCGGCGCCCGGGGACAAACTTTCGATCTGCACCCCCACCTCGAACTTTTTATTTGCAACCCCCCCCCCCCCCCTTCGAACTTTTGATTTGCACCCCTCCCTTCAAACTTTCAATTTGTTTTTCCAATTTTTTATGGCGCCCCCCCCCCTAAGGTCGGCGCCCGGGGACATATGTCCCCCCGCCCAACCCCCCTCGCTACGCTTCTGGCTGGTCACTGAGTGGAATCTGCACGTGCAACAGTCACAAGTTGAATCGTGAACTGAACTCGAGTATTCCAGTCTAGCAGCCAAGCTATTTACCATTCGACCACGGCGTCCAACGCGTCCAAGTAGTAAATTGTATTTTTAAAATTCTGTGTATTAACTGAATTTAATGTATAAACGGTACTAAAATGCATGACAAATTATAGTAATCTCAGTGGCGTAGCGAGATCGGGTTTCACCCGGTGCGGCACTTAATGGTGTCACTCCCCAGAGGCGTAGCGACCCTTCCCGGAGCCAAACTTTCACATTTTCGATTTGCACCCCCCCCCCTCGAACTTTCGATTTGCAACCCCCCCCTTCAAGTTTTTCTCTATATATTTTGCTATTTTTTTGCCTTGGTGTCACCCCCCCTAAATGGTGTCACCCGGTGCGGTCCGCACCCCCCGCCACCCCCCCCCCCCTCGCTACGCCTCTGAGTAATCTTAATAAAAAACACGTGTGTCCAAACAAACTCATCATGCGCCGAGTTAATAAAAATAGACGGGTTAAGCTTGATCTCCCCACTACTAAACAGCATTTGTTAATCTCCCCCTCCCGCTTATTTCCCAACACATTTTTCTATAGTGTCGTTAATCCCTTACCCACCGTTTTCAAAGACCTTGGACAGCAGGCGGCCGTTAGCTGCAATGAACTTCCTGCGTGATTAACGAAATCCCACAACAGTTATAAATATATTTCATTGTACTGTTGCAAAACAAAACTTGAAAACAAGTATGAAGTGGGGAAAAAGTAGTAACATTATATCAAAGTGATTTTTAGTAATAAGAAATTTCCTTTACGGAAGGTCTGTATACAAGGTATGTAAATTTAAACATATATGATTATATCAGCTACGTTTAGTTTGTTTTATTATGTGTTTATAAGAAGCATATATATATATATATATATATATATATATATATATATATATATATATATATATATATATATATATATATATATATATATATATATATATATATATATATATATATATATATATATATATATATATAATATTACAACCCTGTAAAATAACTCGTTGAATACAGTATTTAGAATCGTTTGGGTTCTAAGTGCAGAGGTATGAATCATACCGTACTTGAAGAAACTGAGACACAAACATACAGTTTCCTAACAGTTTGCTAAATTTTACAGTTACAGATTTTCAATAAGGTGTCTATTTTACTTTTGATAAAATTCTTAATTTTAAATGTTTTGATTTAATTTATCAACAATGTACCTAAATCATGAATGGACTGTACATTATCATAACGATATATTTTAATTTTTTATCATTTTTTACAGGTTTTTAACTAGAATTGCACGATGCGAACCAGTTTGTACCTTCAGTTGTGTTACGTTTTGAGCTTCATTTCTAACTTAATTATTGTTCAATCTTTCACTGTATCCACGATGAGATTATCAACCACCACTACAAGAATAACAGCAAAGAACTTGCTATCAAACACTAATACTCACACAACGTCTACATCAACTACGGTCGCATATTTAACTGCACAAGCGTACACATCCGATGGGGCTATTTCTCCCAACAAGAAAACGCAACCATCAACAATAGATGCTATAGCATCAATAAATGCCCCATCAATGCCAACATCTAGCTCAACAACTTCTCTGAACATTAGCCCGGATATCGACACAACTAGCAACAACTTAATAA